ATGCTCCCGCTACAAGATCCGGATGTTTTTAAAAGTGCGATTAATAAAAGCTTTTACTCAAGCGAAAATAAAAAAATAAACGTAAGGATATGAGAATAACTTAAAAAGATATTATACCTCACTATTTACTGTTAAAAATGGAATCAACAAATCAAGAATCGAACATATTCGAACGAAACGAAAAAAATAACAATTAAGTATCAAACTAAAACGGTAAAATATCGATATTATCTATCAATATTTTGAAAAATAATATCCGGCAAATTTTTCTGCTTCCTTGATGAGGAGTTAAAGTAGAACCTTGTTTAAGTTAAAGTTCAACAACATTATCGAGTCATCAATCTTGAAACAATTTAATTGATCCCATAATAAGGTTCAACACGACGTCTTAATAAGGTTGCAGCAAACTTGAGCTGTATTATTCTTCAAGGCAACTCAAAATATCTCTAACAATGTCGAACTTAATGAGCAGCACTTCTGATTATCTAGAAAGAAATTAGAATTTCTGGGAATTCTAATTAGATTTTTAATCTTCGGTTTTCTGGAATAAACAGATATATGTGTCAAGAGAGTGATTATATGTCATTTTTCTTTGGAGTACGGCAGATTGTTAAAATGCATAATTGCTTTCCAATCATTTTGTTTCCTTGGTCATAAGCAAATTGTTAAATTAAAAGTCTTACGTATTATTCCATTTCGAATAATATATGCCATATTTCATTAATAACATATTTTATAATTAAATTTTATGAATTAATTAATTTTTGATATTCTTTTTTTATTTTTTTAATTTTTTTTTTTGGGGGGGGTGGAATTTTGAATGATGTATATTAAAGAAATAAAAAATATCTCTGCATGCAGTTTTGTATTTATATCAGTATGCCATTTGGGGACTCCACTACCTGCTCGCTTCGCTCACGAGCCCCCATTATTTATTCGTAATCATTTCGGTTTATTAGCGGGAAACAGAGTATGGCATTGAAATTAAAAAATATTTAATTGAATGATCTCAAAATTGCATATTGTATTAACTCAGATTCGGTTCCACAAGCTCTTCCCACTGTTTCTTTTAGGATAAAATTAAAACCTTATAATTTCGATTTGTTACCGTTGTATTTCCTCTACAAATTTACTTTAAATTCTAAATTTCGTACCACATCATAGACTGCGTAATAAATAACCACGTAATAGATTAGTTTATTTATAATATCAAACCAAAATCTGGGTAACGTTGACCCACCTAATATGGTGCCCCTGAAAGAGTGGCCAACAAATCTAATGCGCCTAAATTGAGAATGTCAACCCAGGCCCAGGTGGGCATTAGAAAAAAAAATTTTTAATTGAATCTATCATATAAATATAATCTATAGTGTGTTTATACACTAAATGCAATATAAATTATCCAGTAGTACAAAAACTATATTGTAAAATAATCGTAAATACTTTATCATTAATTAACCCATAGCGCTATAATCCATAATATTTGATTTTAATAAATATATTATTAAGGATATATTACTACAAATAAAAAAAGTAGAATAATACTTATTACTTTTAAAATAACAAACTGCTTATCGTCAAGATACCAAAATGATTGTCAAGTAATAATGGGGGTCGGTGAGCGAAGCGTGCTGGTGAAACATGGTGCAAAGACCCCAAGTGACGTACATTTATTAAAATTGAAAAACTCGTGCAAAAAGTATCAAAGTTCGTTATTTCTTTAATAATTATCATTCAAATTTGTTAACAAAAATCATCTAAAAAGAGCACAGAAAAAAATTTCAGAGATCGTTATTTCGAATGTCGGCCATTATTGGTATGAGATGGCCTCCCATCCCAAATTAAAGCTTCAAATGTGTGGTATTATCTTTACCAAGTTTTATGCTCCTATGATTTAAACTGCGATCATTTCCCTTATCTGCAGTACTATTTTCAGATTTTTACTTTTAATGCTTTCAATGATATTTTTCAATTTAATTGCAGGTAAATAATTTGATTTACTTTGTTTTATACAGTCCACTTAATCCAAAGTAACTCAAGTTCAACCAAATAATAAGTACAGAAGGAAAGTACTCATAACGAATGTTATTCAATGATCACCACCCAATGGTTCATAGTACAACACCATGTACATTAAAGCTTGGTTAACAATCTTCCTTAGTTAAAAAAAATTCCAAATTGTATCACAAAATTTTATCACAATAAAATTATATTAATAGATAAACTTTAAAATATTCCTCGCAATATTGCTTCCTGTATAGAAAAATTTTAAAGAAATTAAAATTGGTGCAACACTCTACCCTATACCTAAATATTACTAATTACTTTGAATTCCGTCTAAGACTGAAATTTCTTTTAATTTTAGGAATCTGTAATGATGTCTTCAAAGAATTTTTTCTATGCGTTTGTTTTAAGTTTTTGGGTAAGTAGACATCTTTAATTCAAATTTGGACAATAATAATGTACAGCAATTTTACAAAAAAATCCTTTCAGAACTAAAATTTTACATCAGATACATATATCATTTCCGCTAAATCTCATTGTAACAATACATTGAAAGATTCTTTTTTAATAAATAAAAGAACATTTATGAGGGAAAGCTTTTAGTAAAATATACAATACGGAAAATCTCACCTTTTTGGTGAGAAGAAAGTTTGTATCCCTTATTAGTCGTATTCCTTTGTCAGTTGGAAGTTTGTATCCCTTAATAATAATTTTGCTTTTTGCATTTTTCACTTTATTTTGAGAAATTTAAATCAAATTGAAAGATTTCTGCACCTAATTATAATAGTCATTTCTCCAAAGATAAAATATTTAAATTATAACTTTAAATAAATATATATTACTTCTTATTAATTTCTTTAATAATCGAAAAAAATTTAATTGTTAGGTAAACAAACTTTTACATGACATTAAAGAATTTAAAATTATAAAGTAAAATTTTTATAAAAACAAACTAAAACAATTTCATGAGTAGTGAGGAAATCAAATTTTAAATATACGTCTTTTTAAAGTGGTCAGAAACTATTCGACCGATTTTGTTCAAATTTTGCATGTCGTCATTTAAAATTTCAGTTCTTAAAATGGTGTAAACGCTTGCATACCTCACAATAAACAATATATTCGACAATTATTAAAATTGATAAAAAAAATAATTAATAAATATTAAAAAATTTTACTCTGAATTATCTTTAGAAAAACTCAATTTACAACTCAATACAAAAATTTTTCGATGTACTTAAAAAGTTTCTGCGATATAGTGTAACATGCAAAAAAGTCAAATTAACATTAAGGGGCCCAAACTCACGATTGTTCTCTTTGCCTAAGCTATTAAACCAGATTGAGGCTAACCCCCCCCCTTATTTTGAGGGTCATGAATCGAAATTTGTCGAAAAGCAGGCATTTTTATTCAGAGAAAGTATGTTTTTATGTTTTATTTCCTAACTGAAAATCTTATTAATCAGCATATTTGAGGTTAAGCCCTCAAACCATTAAGATCGGGAATTCCAGTGATTAAATCAAAAGTTATTCTAGTTTTTCACTTTTTTTTTTTGCTCACTGGGCCTTTTATTTAGTGTTTTGATTTTATGAACACTTATGCATGTAGTATACAATATTTTATATTGTAACCGTCGTTGAACAGCCGACCCAATTTTTGGATTTACGACTACTAATATTCAACTCCCGTATCCTTGTAATTTTGAACCCAATCCAGAAGACGAGGGAACACCTGAATTAAGAGAAGTTTGAATTCGCGGAGGACTTTTTGATGAAACTAACTCGCATTTGCGTAACATGGGGAGGAAGATCACGAGAACCCTCCACGGTTAGTCTGACGGCAAGGGGACTCTAACCTTTGATCCACAACCACTGAAGCACTGTGGTCGGTGAGAGCCGGATGCGGAATTTGTATCGACCAGCCATTGCTGGGATTCTTACCCGATTCACCTCATTATAAGGCCAGCGCTTTTTCCCCTGAGTCATCGTGACTCAGTTAACAGTATGTGATAAATTGTCTTTCTTTAATTAAATACAACTATTTTCTTATAAAATGAAAAGACAAATAAGTAAATCTGTCCACTCCCCCCCCCCCGACGAAAAATGCTTTCCGCTACGTTTATATTGTTTGAGAAGTTTACTAGTGTAACTTGTGTTACATAATAATATACTGAAACATGTGATTAATCAGTTTAAAATGTCATAGTAAGCTTAAATTGGCTTAAATCTAACTTCTGTATGCAAATCTGTTATTCAGCGTTACTTTTGATTTTATTATTTAACCTTTTGACGCAGCTGGGAAACCGATATCCCATAAATATTTTTTTGCTGACGCTCTAGTTACGAGCAAAAAAAAAATTTTTTTTTCAATTATGAAAAACAGTTTAATAGTGTAACTTAAACTAATCTGCTACATTATCGGAATCATATTTCTAATAAAATAAAAAATCCAAAACATTTAAATCGAATTAATTTTTTTTCATTCATATTCAAAAAATAATCCATAATTTATTTTGTAAATTAAGGAAATTTCAATGATGAATAACTGTTTCTCTTAGATCTAAATAACTGCAAATAAGTGCAAATTTCAAAAATTATTGCTTGGAAATGAGCCATGTTCGGAGGATTTAACCTTTTACGAAGAAAGTGACACCGCTGTTTATAATGCTGTATTTCATAACTATAAATTGATAAAATGTTAAATATAATATTTTTTTGCTCATTTTGGCCTAAATTAATACAAAATAATAAAAAAGTTTAAAAAATAAGTTTAATAAAGATTCTGCGTCAAAAGGTGAATACTCATTTTCTCTTTTATTAAGCAGATAATTATTCTAATTTATGTTTTGCCTGGATTCTAAAAATACATAACAATAAGTGTGTTTAAAAATCACAGTACTTAAGCAAATTACCTTCAAATTCACGTACCCACTCATAATTAGTATCAAAAACTATGCTTTTTGAAAAGAAATTTTATTTATTTATTTTAAATTCTAGGTAGGACCTTTAATGGCAGTGGTTGTTAAAGAAGGTCTCAAGATTGTGAAGAAAGAAGAAGACTATAAACCTTCCGGTAAGTCTCTTGTGCTAATTATAAAAAAATGGGTCGATAATATATTCAAAATTTGGGATAACACCAGCTTGCTTTACTGATATATTTTTTTTTACTCATACGCATGCTACTTTTGTTAGTCATTTCAGTATTTAAATAAAATCATCTTTACAAATTCAAGCAACAAAAACATTTCTCGTAATTAAAAAAATCATAAGAGCCGCTGCCACCAAGGTTTTAAATGCTTATCTTTATGTTATATTTTGTTTTGTTGCGTAAAACCTATTACATTTAGTAATTTAAATATAGAAATCTATGCCGGGAGTTGTATGAAATAAGAAATATATATATACCAGGGATCTGTCCAGACATTCTGTGAAAGGCCCTGTTCTTGTAAAATTGTGAAAAAATTACTCGTAATTTGTGAATATAAAATAAACGTTAAGTCACATTCTTTCAACCAGAGTCTTGCTTTTATGAATTTGTGCAAATAGGGTCCGGTTATTACAAAAAAACTTTTTCAAGGAGTATTTAAATTGTAAATAGTTACAAGATTATGCCCAGCACTGTAAAATTATAATAAAAAAAATTAAATTTTCAAAAATAAACAGCAGTTGCTGCTTCTAAATTAGAGATGCAACATACAAATATTTCGTATTTAGCCTATGCTGAAAGCAGAATATTCATTTCGGACAAATAAAGGAAGATGCGTCTGCCGAAGACAAAACTTAGTTCGTTTACATGTCTTCCTTTTTTCCCCGGGGAATGGTTTATTCGTTTAACAAAATAATAATGAAAATAAACAAATTTGTGATGGGTCCATTTTTATAAAAAAGATATTTTGTAAAAGATCCGTTAATGGACGCAAATCTCTTCTAAACAGACCTCTGCATACTAAAAATTGGGTTGGCCTTTCAATTACAAATTCAACAAATTACAAATAAGTTCACAATTATTAACTAAACTTCTAGTAAAAAATGCTATTCAAATTTTATTTGCTCGAAAATAAACAGCAATTTAAGTGCTTTTATTGGGAATGCATTTTTTCTTACCTTTTTCGTAAGAAAAAGTGCTGACTATTTATCCCTTCCGTAAAAAAAAATTTATTTTCGATATCTCTCGAGATCCTTATTTTAAAAGCTCCCACTTGAATAGATCTCACTTGGGAGTAACGAAGAAGAGTGAGACTATGATTAGATGGTGCCGGATATAAATCTTAACATTTATATTGAAATTTTAAAAAATAAAAATAAAAAACTCAATATGAACTCAAAGTTAAAAACCATGCAGTGTTATGATTGGTGCTAAGAAGTTATATTACTTCTCTTTTATTTATTCTTATTGAGTCTCGCAATCTTTATTCATTCGGGTTTTTTTTTCTCTCTTTCAAGCACGGATAGTTATTTTTAAACCCAGGTAATCGTACATTTCGTTGTGATTTCATACTGGTAAAATGTTTTTTTCTTTTATTTACATAATACTACAACAATTACGTATTTTGTTTCAAAAAAATGTTCTGTATTTTTGTGGAAAATATCGTCAAGGAAAAAAAAACGATTATGAAGGCAAAGCAATTATCTGTAATAATCGCAGTTTATCTGTAATAATCCTAGTTTATCTGCAATAATCACACATCTATTTTCAGCAATTTTTACCGACTTTCTTACTTTATATTGGTTTTATTTACATAATACAAAATAATACATTATTAAAATCTTGCTAATAAAACAGTTTTAGAATATTTATGATTTTTTAGCATTAAAAATTCGTAAAAATTGAAAACGATATGACAATTAATAGAAAGAAAATTACTTTAATCTATTTTCTTTTAAACATAACTAGCTTTGCAATTTGTATACTTAATTCTTCAAAAACAGAAAATGGAACACCCGAAAATGAAAAAAAAGCACATTTAGTTGGCGCGCTATATGTACCAGACAAAAGCAATTTCAGTTCCACAAATAATATTTTACTGTTCGAAACACAAATCAAAGAATACAAATATTTCATTCAAATAGGCAATCGATGAAGGAAATGGGTTGAATAGAAAAATGAAGTCATTTATATGCTGGCTTAAGAATATATAATATGGAACATGCAACTGGAATTAAAAATGATCACGTCCAGATTCTACGATATTTTATTTCTACAGATTACGCGTACCAAAGCCGCCAAATGGTCTATTTAACTTTTTATAACACTCTTTACAACCTAAAGAACACACTGGGCAGAAACATTTTTATTATCTCTTAGAAATAAATTGACATAAAGTGATTGGTTTACTAAACACATCAATAAAACCATCAATATTTTGATGACAGCCCATGTTAAAGAAATGGAACTTGAGAAATGATCATGTTATTAAATGGATTAAGTGACCTTGTTGATTTAAATGGATCTTGAAAGAATACTACTATCAATGTCATTTGATGGCACTTTTTCTTTAACAAAAAGCGTGAAAGTATATATTATTTGACAGAAAAGTCTGACAAATTAATATATGCTTTTATTTAATATACACTGCACTGTTTTTGGAATTGTTATATTATTTGATACAAGTGAAATTAGTATACATTCGCCTCACTGAATATCCGTTCTTCACACGTGATGAAAAACTAAATAAATAATCAATAAATCAGTTTTGTTCAACCCAACGGAATTATGTGCTAAACTAAAAGACAAACTCCGACACAATTATTTAAGCTAATACAATTGCAGGGTATTAATTTTTATTATTTGTTACCCTACGTTTTGGCTTTTCGTTATAAAATGGAACAAAACATGGTTTAAGAAGCTTATCTCATCAGTATAAAGATTAACTATATTCAATAACATTTTGCTTAATGCTTCTGCACAAGGCCAAAGCCGATAGTCAAAAAAAAACAATTACTTTTACCGCGCCCCTTGAAATAATGATTAATTTTTAACATTGCTTTTGAAAGCTAAATACAATTCCTTTCCCTGTAAAAAACCTCGATGTCCACAGTTCTTAATAGTAGATATTATAGTACTTATATTAGTATATTCAGTATTCAGTATCTATTAAAACAACACAATTAGCATAATACCATTAGTACCTATGACAATAATTAATTAAGCATCTTTGATATCAATAATATTAAGGCGAATTTTTATAGTTCTTCTATGTGAATAACTATCTTTTCACCATAAACTTAAAATTTTGTACAATTTTTTTTATTTCAATTTGTACCTATTACCAATATTGAATAAGCATCATTAACGTCAATAATAATATGGCAAATGTTCATGGTTATTCTAAACGAATCAAGTCGAATCAAGAGAATCGCTTCACCAAGTTAGTAAAATGATGCAAGTAGATGCAAAAGGATCCTAATCGAGGCATAATGCAAGTCGATGCAAAATGTTTCCAGTTCACACATGGTAAAAATAAAGACACAAATATAAACCTACTTATCATGTCAAATATAAATTCTAAAGTTTAAATTAAGTTTGTATTTTCACTTGTCACTTGTATTTTCCAAATTTTAACATTTTTTTTTCCTACGGTGAAGCAAATATCCTTACAGTTTATTTTCTAACTAATGTTCGAGTTATTTCTTACAGCTGTACAAGTCGCCTGTACGACAGAAGCTATAATGGGAATTGTAAAGTTTCGAAAACCTTTTTATGGTCTTCTCTATGCCAAAGATTATTTTGAAGATTCCTGTACAGCCAGGGGAAATGGCTCAAGAGAGATTCATCTTGTGATTCCAACTAATGAATGCGGATCTATTTCGGTCAAAAATACAGTTAAGTGCATAATTTTATAGTGATAATTTCGTATCCAAAATGAAATACTTACTATCTACGCTGTTTCATACAATGTGCAAAATTAAAAAAGAAACACACAGAATAACTTTTGATCTAATGGATTTTCAAGCACCAGGACAAAATCTTAATCGTTCAAGACCCTGGTTTCAAATATGCTAACACTAATTAGTGTATGTTTCAAGCTACGAATTCAGACACAAAAACGTACGTTCTCAGAATAAACATGCCATTTTTTTCTCTACTCATTCGGATTCCTGACCCCAAATTATAGAGGGTAGCAATCTGGGTAATCTGAAAAATACATTCCCCATAGAGTAAGGTGAGCTATCCAAGGTTTGGATCCTTAATGTTAATGTTATTTATTGCGTATTTCGACAGATCTCGAGAAAATTAGCTGATCGAAATTCGTAATTATAAAATTTGTTTAACAAAAAGTAATTTTATACAAATAATTAATAGTTATTTATTATTGTTTTATTTAATATTAGAAAAAGTTTTTCATTTTAATGTAGGCAAATTTTTACATCATTTCAAAGAATGTAATTTTAAATTTCGAAAAATAAATATCGAACAAAAGTGCAAATCAAAGGGCATATTGGGAAACCGAATTTTAAATACACGACTTTATAAAATCTGATAACTCAGAAACTATTTGAAAAATTTCTCTCAAATTTTGTAAAATTCAATTCTTTAAAATGATGTAAAAAAGATGTATACCTTTTACTGGAAAATTTATTCCTACAATCATTTTACAAAATAATAAAAAACAATGCTGAAGATAATTCCTTGCATTAAATTAGAGCTAAAATAAACAAACAAAAAAAGTCCATAACTTAAGAATTCCTACATTTTTAGAATCGAAAAATTATTCTATATCAGTAATTTATTCGATATTTCTTTCATTTAACATGAAAATAAATCTTCAAAATAAATGCGAAAGGTAATTTAAAATTAAAGATCAACATAGTTGAGAAAATGAAAGAAAAAAATTATTTTGTAATTATAACTCATCATTTTAATAAGTAATATCAGGCATCCATAACTCATTCTAACAACTTTTTTACTGAACTAAAAAATATCAACTATTCAGAATTAGAAAATTTCGCTCCATTGATCCCATGTTCACTGTTCCATTGAAATTTAACAATATTTTAAAAATACATTATGTTAAACCCACATTTTCATTAAGCACAATTTATAATGCATATCTTTCTTTTCACTAACTTTTTTTTCCATCTAAAATACTTAGATTTAATTACGAAAATTCAAACGAAAGGTGAACGTAATGGCTTTTACAGCACAACGATGGTAAACGAACGCAGATGAGCACAGGTAACGTCAGTTCGTGAATAGTCACGTGACTCCCCGTTTCAGAGGAAACGAAAATAAGCGTTTTTTGCTTAAAAACAACTTAATAATTAACACTCTTAGAAAAGTAATAACATGTTTTCTGGGAGTTTTGAAGGATTCTGAAAGCATTAAGATTTTTTAAGAAAAAAACTGTCCGTAATTTTTCCTTTTCTGGGTTTAAAAAAAGTAAAGCCCAAAACCACGTAATGTGTTTATCTTCATAAATTTAAAATTAGCTAACTTAAAGTCTTAGTTCGTTTATTCAAAGTTTCGTCTGTATGATTTTAGTTAGCTTTAAAAATGAGTTCAGGTGAACGTTTGGTAAATGAATTAAAAAGAAAAAAAATATTGTCTCTCTGAGTTCGCCTTAAATGAAGACAAACTGCTGATGAATTTCAAAGAACTGAAGCTGTTTTTTTTATTAATTTAATCAGCTGTAGCTTCTTATTGGGAACGCCCCCTCATTAAAATGGTGATTGATGAGTCTGCAAATTCAACAGCGATACGATTCCCTTCTATTTCCTGTTAATCTGAAATAGTACGAAATGTTTAAAAATTTGTAAACAAAGTTTTCTAAGCACCATGATTGATAAACCATTCAAGAATGCTTCAAGCTTACCTCATGTAATGTTCTTAAGCAGTATTTGAAACAGAAATTTAGGCTTACCGGTGAAAAGATTTTTTAATCCCAACGAGCCAGATGGATTTAAGATATTAATGGCATGATATGAAGGAAGAAACTACAATCAAAGCTCGTGTGCCAATTTACAATCTAGCTGGCTTTAAGGACTCGCTCTCTGTTTTAGTGATTTTCCTCTTGGCCATAGATGAACACAACTATAATGCAAGTATTATTTTTTTATTTCTTTTAAAATTTGTTACCTAAACTAAACGTTTTTTCATAAAGAAAATGCTACACAGGAGAATGGATTGCTAAAGGTCATTGGATTGAAAAGTCGCAGCCCGTGCAAGGATTAGTACGATTGTGATATGGGCAGGTTTAAATGCAAGAACTAAGATTATTACAGCCTTTACAAAGGCTAAAATTCATTCAATGCATTACTAAGATAAATTTAGCAACAACTTTCTCACATTGAAAGACGAACTAGTAGTCCAAATTTTGATATTGTTTTTTTTTATTCCAAGTTTTGATAAAAATGTTTTTTGTTTTTTTTGCAAACTTGTAAATGCTTAAACTAAAGACAATATGTGAAAAGCAAAGTCAAATTTTGAACTATACGTATTATGTGCTCTTGAAATTCAATCCTAAGAAATAAGATGACTTTAATTATCTTGTGTTAGTTAATCATTCTTCGCCCGAAAAATTATTGTTAACAAAATTTAAAATAAATTTTATTTTTAAAAAAAAATAATGAAAGTTCAATTTTGGTATAACTCTTTTCCTCTGAGATAATAAAAAAAGATAGAGTTCTACTAATATGTCTTTACCTGATGAAATTTTTCCATCTATAATTATTTCATTCAATCCTAAAATTGAAAAAAATTGTTTTATTTTATTTTACTTTAATTCCCCATATTTACAGCATTTTTTTTATCATGCGTGAATTAATAGTTCAATACTAATGTTATTTTTATTACAACCGAATGTTTCATAGAGTCCTTTTTACAAAATATCGATATATCCTGAACCCTTAATTTATTTTAGTTTTCTTTACCTTAACTCTCTGTATTTACATAAGTTTTTTTCCTGCCTAATTAAGTATCTAACTACTAAAATTACTCTTAATCAACTGAGTGTTATAAATATAATTTCCGAAAACATTTGTTTAAAAGTTTTTTTTTGAAGCTCTTTGCAAGGCAAAATTAATAAACTACTGCTTACGTTCCTTACACTCGAGACAAAGATTTAATTTTAAAGTATATCGACAAGGGTATCGTTCTTGCCGTAAAGAATTATTTGGGAAAAATAGCTTAACATTTTAAAGGTTAGTAAACTATTTTTAAAGTTGCCAATTCGGTGAGATTCTTCCGACTAGATAAAAATCATTAACATGTTTTTTCGACGCTCTTTGACAAGAAAAGTAAATAAATAAAAGCCACAGTTTGAGTGTCTTACACTTGAAGCAGAGCTGATTTAAATAATTTTGAATTGTATATGCCATCTTGCCGTAGTCAATTATTTGGGTTTCAGTACAAACGAATAGTTTTTAAATAATTATGCTACAAAACCTTTTTTACTTTTTCAAAACTGAGGCTCTTCTTCATATTGACATTTTGCGTGTTTTTCAGAATAAACGTAGATAGCGCTGGCTACGGATAAGCTAAACTTAGCCTAACAATCATCATAAGTTACTGTGATAAGTTATGAAAGTAGCATATTATTCTAAAAAAAGCATAATTTCCTACGACTTAAGAGCCTTTGAAAAATAGTCTTAAAACAAATGAATAATTCTTCTTTTTCGAAACTTTTTACTAGCCCAGATAATACAACGTTAAAGTAACTTTTTTGATATTAACAAGCAAACATTTGTCAATTTCACAGAACTGCGGCATTTCATCATAATGACGTAAGCGCCACTTTCATTGATGGCTCTGTAATGGTTAAAAACACGCATAAATTGTCCGATTAGTCAAGTATAACCGTTACAAACTGACAACAGTTTTACTTTTTTGGCAACAGCTGGTAGCCTCTGTTGCATACGCTTTTTCTCGCTCCTTGAATATTTTGATTTTACCCATTGTTTTAAGTCTAATTTCACTTATAATTATAAAAATTTGAAAATATCAATTTAATGTTTTAGTAAGCAAGCTTTCTATACATAAATATTGCTTCAAACAATGTCTTCGTCAAAAATTTTGTGTAAAGCATGTACCGAACCAATTCTGGAAGACTCAGATGGATTAACATGCAAAGGTGAATGCAATTCTGTTTTTCATTTTCATTGTGGTGGTTTCGCTGAAAGAGCTTTTAGAAGACTTACTGTTGATAAAAAACAAAAGTGGACCTGCGCACAATGTTCAAANAATAACATGTTTTCTGGGAGTTTTGAAGGATTCTGAAAGCATTAAGATTTTTTAAGAAAAAAACTGTCCGTAATTTTTCCTTTTCTGGGTTTAAAAAAAGTAAAGCCCAAAACCACGTAATGTGTTTATCTTCATAAATTTAAAATTAGCTAACTTAAAGTCTTAGTTCGTTTATTCAAAGTTTCGTCTGTATGATTTTAGTTAGCTTTAAAAATGAGTTCAGGTGAACGTTTGGTAAATGAAAGAAAAAGAAAAAAAATATCGTCTTTCTGAGTTCGCCTTAAATGAAGACAAACTGCTGATGAATTTCAAAGAACTGAAACTGTTTTTTTTTATTAATTTAATCAGCTGTAGCTTCTTATTGTGAACGCCACATCATTAAAATGGTGATTGATGAGTCTGCAAATTCAACAGCGATATGATTCCCTCCTATTTCCTGTTAATCTGAAATAGTACGAAATGTTTAAAAATTTGCAAACAAAGTTTTCTGTTGTTGTTGTTGCTAATTCCCATCTGGTCTGACGGGGTCAGACCAAATCAATAAATCCGTTGACATTAAAAAAATCCGAAACCAGAATGTGAGAGGAATGAACGTCGTTCCAGTCCAGCCCTAAACAGTTCAAGATGTGCTCAGGTGATGCCTGGTTTTTTTGGCATTTAGGGCAAAGAGGAAAGATCTTTTGATTAGCAGAAAATGTGAGACTTTTCAGGTGTCCACTGGCCAGTCGGGATAAGCAAGTGTTGGTTTGCCTTATAGTTACGAAGTTTTCTAACCATTCAAGAATGCTTCGAGAATCACCATTCAAGAATGCTTCAAGCTTACCTCATGTAATGTTCTTAAGCAGTATTTGAAACAGAAATTTAGGCTTACCGGTGAAAAGATTTTTTAATCCCAACGAGCCAGATGGATTTAAGATATTAATGGCATGATATGAAGGAAGAAACAATCAAAGCCCGCCTGCCTAGCTAGCGGGCGGGCTTTGAATCTAGCGGGCTTTAAAGACTCGCTCTCTGCTTTGGTGATTTTGCTCTTGGCTATAGATGAACACAACTATAATGCAAGTATAATTTTTTTATTTCTTTTAAAATTTGTTACCTAAACTAAACGTTTTTTTATAAAGAAAATACTAAGCAGGTGAATGTATTGCTAAAGGTCATTGGACTGGAAAGTCGCAGCCCGTACAAGGATTGGTACGATTATGATATAGTCAGGTTTAAATGCAAGAACTAAGATTATTGCAGCCTTCACAAAGGCTAAAATTCATTCAATGGCTTACCAAGATAAATTTTTGGCAACAACTTTCTCACATTAAAAAACGAATTAGTAGTCCAAATTTTGATATTGTTTTTTTTAATCCAAATTTTGATAAGTATGTTTCTTTTTTCTTTTTTGAAAACTTGTAAATGCTTAAGCTAAAGGCAGTATGCGAAAAGCAAAGACAAATTTTGAACCATGCGCAGTATGTGCCCTTGAATTTCAATCCTAAGAAATAAGATGACTTTAAAATTAAGAAATAAGATAATTGAGTCATTTTTCGCTCGAAAAATTATTGTTAACAATATTTAGAATAAATTTTACTTTTTCAAAAAAAATTTATGAAAGTTTTATTTTGTATAACTATTTTCATTTGCAATAATAAAAAAATAAGATATAGAGTTTTACTAATATGTCTTTAGCTGGTGAAATTTTTCCATCTATAATTATTTCATTCAATTCTAAAATTGAAAAATATTGTTTTATTTTATTTTACTTTAATTCCCCATATTTACAGCTTTTTTTTATCATGCGTGAATTAATAGTTTACACTAATGTTATTTTTATTACAACCGAATGTTGCATAGAATCCTTTTTACAAAATATTCATTTACCCTGAACTCTTGATTTATTTTAGTTTTCTTTACCTTAACTCTCTGTATTTGCATAACTTTTATTCCTGCCTAATTAAGTATCGAACTACTAAAATTGCTCTTAATCAACTGAGTGTTATTAATATAATTTCCGAAAACACTTGGTTAAAAGTTTTTTTTTTTTAAGCTCTTTGCCAGGCAAAATTACTAAACTACTGTTTACGCTCCTTACACTCGAGACAAAGCTTTAATTTTGAAGTATATATATCATCTTGCCGTAAAGACTTATTTGGGAAAAATAGCTTAGCATTTTAAAAGTTAGTAAACTATTTTTAAAAATATTTCCGACGAGATAAAAATCATTAACGTGTTTTTTCGACTCTCTTTGCCAAGAAAAACAAATTAAAAAAAACTGCAATTTAAGTGCCTTACACTTGAAGCAGAGCTATAATTTTAAATTGTATATGCCATCTTGTCGTAATAAATTATTTGGGTTTCAGAGCAAGCAAATAACTAAAATATTTAAAAAATTATTAAACATTTTTAAAAATAGCTTATTTATATCCACCAAAATGAAAATTATTAAAATCGATACTTTATTCTCCTTTTTTTGAAAGTTTTTATGAGCCCAAATAAAGCAGCAATGGAGTAGGTTTTTAAATTTTAAACAATTATACTACAAACTCTTTTTACTTTTTCAAAACTGTGGCTCTTCTCCATATTGACGTTTTGCGTGCTTTTCAGAATAAGCATAAAGCGTTGGCTGAAGATAGGCTAAACTTTGCCTAAGAATCATAAGCAACTATTGCAAACTCACATCAGTTATGAAAATAACATATTATTCTAAAAAAAAGCATAATTTCATGCGGCTTCAGAGCCTTTGAGAAATAGTTTTAAAACAAATGAATAATTCTCATTTTTTGCAAATTTTTATGAGTCCAGATAATAAAATGTTAAAGTAACTTGTTGATATTAACAAAGTAAATCACAAACGTTTTTCAATTTCACAAAACTGCAGTTTTCCTTCATAACGACGCAAGCGCCAATTTCATATATGGCTCTGTAGTGATTAAAAAAAGGCATAAATTGTCCGATTAGTCAAGAATAACCATTACAAACTGGCAACAGTCTCTCAAAAAGCATATTATTCGCTATTAGCGTTAACAAAAACAGCCTTAACCTTTAACATTTTCTTCACAGGAGGGTAAACAAGAATTCCAAGTTTCCTTATACTTACAACATGACAAAAAACTCCAACAAGTCTACGATGAAATGCTTCATTTACGTTGTGTACCAGCTACAGTAACGGTTGTAATGGTTAAAATGAATCAGGAAGGATCGAATAACTCTGCCGAGTTTACAGATCATTCAAAAGATAGTTCTTACCTACCAATCCTATCACGAAGTTTAGAACATTCCGTATTTTCTGCAGAAAAACCAAATGAGAATCTTTTAAAGAACTCCGGGAGCAACAACGAATCGTCCCTAACACAAAATCCTGCTGTTTGGAAAAGATCTTATCCAGATTTCGTTAATGACTTCAATTCAACTTTAAAAAGTGAGGAGAGACCGTCTCATATCAATCAGTTATCGTCTTCAAAATTGTCTTTTCGGATTTTATCGAAGAAAATGCCCCATTCGGAATTCCTAAAGAGTCTTCAGCGACCACTTATTGAACATTCGTTTGTGGTATTGGTAAGTAAATGTTGATGTAATATCCAAATTTGATTTAGTGATGTTGAAATAATAAGGATTTAAAAAATAAATCCCTTTGCAATATCTAGTTTTCTACTGTTAAAATATGGTTAAAAATCTCGTAAAAAAAGTTCTTTGAATTTTTATTGATGATTGTATCAAAATAAATTTTAAAATTTAAAATTTTTATTTTCTGTTTCTAATTATGATTCAAATAGCATCGCACAAAAAAAGATTAAATCTAAAATGAAAGAAAATTTTAAAAGTTTAAGCCTAAGTAAAGCATAAGCGCAACAATAAATGTGAAGGGACTTAAAAAATCAAAAAAAATTTTTACACTATCTTTTACACCGAAGAGACATTACATTATGACCACCCTCCATCTATAACAATAGGCTCGCCCAGGTTTTCCTGGTTTCTCGCCCAGGAACAATGTTTTCATGGGGCACATTAGGACCCATAATCCTCATAAAACAATCCCTGACGTCTGTAAACTACTTGAGCATAGTTGCAGACCAGGTTCATCCATTCATGGCAACAGTTTTTCCTGTGGGGGATGGTTTTTACCAACAGGATAATGCACCATATCATAAGGGTCGAATCGTCGACGGACATTCCAGTGACTTTCAAGTCATGTCTTGGCCCCCAAATTCACCTGATCTTAATCCAATGGAGCATTTGTGGTCCTTCTTGGAAAACCAAATTCGTGCTGCCACGCTACCCCCTCGCAATGCGAGGGAATTGCAGGACCAGTTGGTGAGCGCTTGGTACCAGATACCTCAGACTACCTATCAGCACCTTGTAGAATCAATGCCGCGGCGGGTGCTAGCAGTTTTGAGAGCTAAAAGTGGTCCTACATGTTATTAGCAGGGTGGTCATAATGTAATGACTCTTCGGTGTAAATTCCTTTCTAATTTTCGTAAAAACTATTAAAAAAAGGACATACTCCATAAATGGAATATTTCATAAGTAATATAAATTTAAAATCACTAGCAATTACAACAGCAACAATTTAAAATAATACTATACATTAAATACACAGCAGTTTATCGGATCAAAAATTACCCATATTGTAATTAGGATAACTGTAGATGCTTTTCATTTTGAACTGATAATTCAAGGAATTACTTCACATTTTCTAATCAAAAAATTTATCTTTTAATTTTTAACTTCATGATAATATTCGGAATATAATGATTCTAAAAGAATTTTAGGTTAGACTGTAGAATAAGGTGAGTCTCGGATTGGGCACTGTAACTTGGAGCTTTTTCTGTATATGAAATCCTCAATTTTTTATTTCGATTTCTTAAAATTTCACTTTAAGTTATATTCCTTACTTTTTGCAAAAGCACAAAAAATGGACAAAATATAAGGGGTACCCTATTTTTAACTTTTAGTGAGTTTTAATTAATATTTTAGCTTCATCAAAAGTGCTCCTTACGTTTCTAAACAACTCCGGTCACCACTCTTTTACATTTACACCCTTGTGCAAATTAATTGAAACTAACTTTTTTTTTCCGTGTTTTTTAAAGAAGATGTTTTGGGGTTGTTTCGGTTTCAATGGGGTTGGACCTTTGCAGCCTATTGACGGTATGATGCGTTCTGAGCAGTACATTACTATTCTGGGTAAAAAAGTTGTTCCAGAGTTGAAGAAACGATACCCTGATGGAACAGGGATTTTTCAACAGGATTTAGCTCCTTGCCATACGTCCAAAATTGTCAAGAAATTCATGTCTGAGAATCAAATTGAGACATTGGAATGGCCAGGGAACTCTCCGGATATCAACCCAATTGAGAATCTCTGGGCCATAATCAAGAATCGCCTATTAAATATAGACTGTGCAACTATGGAGAAGCTAATCACGGCGTTAATTCATGTGTGGTACAAGGACACAAATATTATAAATGACTGTAAAAAATTTGTGGAATCCATGCCGAATCGTGTCCAAATGTTAATAAAGTGCCGTGGAGATTATATTATGTACTAAAAATTTTTGAGTTTGTATAAATTTAAATAAAATAGCATTTTCTCTTAGTTTTCTGAATTTATTGAGTTTGTTTCAATTAATTTGCACAAGGGTGTATATATCTTGGTTTCAGATATTTTTCTTCTTTTTTTTAATTCGTATGTTTAATGTGTTACATGGGAATTAAGTCATGTGTGCCCGAAATTCTAATTTTGTATACTTGTTATCAATCATGTGTTTGTATGTTGCTTTGTATCCCGCAATACTTTCTAAATTAGTGCATGGAAGGGCATTTAGACATAGAAAAGTTATAAGGCTATGGATTTAAGCATTGATATTTGTAAACTCACAATGAGGTCGGCTTTTTAAAGCCAGTAATAAAATAAAAAAGGCAAAAAAAGTTAACTGTTTTAGATTAATCGTTAATATTATCGAAACTTTTCCTTATTCCCCAAAACGAGAGAGATTTGTCTTCGGTTAGATGATTTTTGTTTTTGTTTATACGATTATAGTTTTGTTTGTAATTTCAAAACGTTTGTATGTCATCAACTAACTTTATTTAAGCTCATTATTGTACTCAGTACTTATTTCGTATTATTATTATTGAAAACTTTATTTACAGGAAAGTGACATTGATCCTGACATGAAAATGATTGTTATGCGAGGAGAAATGGAAGAATTAGAGAACAGTGATAACCCATCTGAAATTGTCGACACAGTCACTTTAAAAATTCTCTATAAGAATCCAAGTAAAGTTAATTTAATTGATAAAATATTTGATCGTTTTGTGCAATATTATACAGAATGAGATATTTTTATTTTATCTTTAAATCTTTTCCGTATCTTCTACTGATAATAGCTAATTATGTACATGAAATACTATTTTTTATATTTTAATCAAAAGAACGTTTCCCATTTCTGCTATTAAATTATTAAAAACGGACCGAAAGCGATGAAATTTGGCATATAGATAGATGTAAAGCACAAGGAAGTTTACTGCCAACATTAGAACATTCTACAAAAAACAATTCGATCGAGAGGAGCAAAAAACGAAATGGAATTTTTTGATTAGTTAAGCGTTAATACCAATTCTACAACGGGTTTTTCTTAGTTTCAGAAAATATTTTTCCTGTGATTGAAAAGATAGTGTAATAATATTTTAAGGAATCATACTTGAAAGAACTTTTTTTCCACCTCTACTTACAAATATTTTAAATAGTTAATTAAAGATTGAGTAGACAAATGGTCAGATAAAAATTCTATTGGTTTTTAAAATATCAGCATCTGTTTGCTGCCACTGATAAATAAAATTCGAGCAAAACTCAAATATTGAAGGTTATACATAAGTACCAAATATACAAATGTAGGTATATTGTTTTCCATTGATACATACGGTAATTATTAAAACAGCACAGCAGTGTAGTATTAATTATTAACAAAATATTAATTAATAGTATTAAAACTATAAGCAGTTTTCATATCAATACTGAAAGAACAAGTGCTTTACTGGCTCTTGAAAGGGATATTTTCCAGAGAAACTGGACTGGACTTAATTGGACTTGACTGGATTGGTTTTTGACTGAACTTAATTGGAGTGATAAAATTCTTTTAAATTCTGTTTTTTTTTTATTCAGAAAAAATACCTTAATTTAGTAAATATTGATTATATCTCGGTATAGTCTATATTTTTCTAAAAAAGCTTTCAATTGTCTATAACAGACTGGGTGATATCAGTGATTGTCAGATAACTTCACTGGCAATTTGAAAGTTAATCTTTTGCCCAAAATTAAGAATGCTTAAAAGTTCATTCAAAGAAATGTCCGTAAATGCTTTCAACAATTTTTTTTTTCGAGCATGAGATGAACCATATAACCATCTTAATACCGAAATACCCACTAAAAATGACAAAAGTATTCTTGATACTGATATGTCAAATGAAAACGATAATAACAAAAGCCTTTAAATTTTTCGGTTATCTTCTTGTTTAGACAAAATAGTTTTATTATTTAATATAAAGCTTAAAACACTATAAAATGAATATTTTCAACGACTACTTTTATTTTACTGATCAGTATTTTCATATTTATATTTTAAATCTTTCAAAAAATCGTTTTCGTTTCATTATTTTTAAATATGTTTATACATTTACCTTTTTTACAAGTTAGAACTATTAATATTAGTAATTTAAATTTATAATATGATGAAAATTTTAAAAATTTAACCAATTATAATGTTAATTAGTTTTAAATGAACGTTTGCCAAATTTATTTTATGTAAGGTAAAGTTTGGTTCGATAGTTGAGCAGTTACACTTCAGAAAAAATCACAATCCACAATATTGAAATTTTGATACTAGTTGAAGCGTTGGACTGACTTCAATTTAAGCTCCCAGCTGATAGTCTTTCCCCCATAGGGGTGCCAGCTAACAATTATGTTCTTTTTTTCACATAAAAAAACAGTAAATGTAAAATTTTTTAGCCTTTCTGAATTCACCCAATTTTACATATTTTTCATAAATTTTTACTAGGTTAACGGACGATCATTTAAACATCCATCTATTAGCTCGCTGTTTTTTTTGTTTTTTTTGTATTAATAAGATTTTGACAGTCTAACTACGGATTTTAAGATTACAGCCGTACTGAAATGACCCGAACAACTGAAACAAATTTTTATGTATTTCATCGGGGCTGGGGTGGCTCAAGTGATAGAGCGTTCGCCTCGCAATGAGGTGACCCAAGATCGAATATCAGTGATAGATGGTGTTACGAATTCTGCTTCAGGTTCTCGCTGACAACAGGATTGACGTAAATCATCCTCAGTGGTAGACGGATGGGTTAGAGTCCCTTTGGCTTACCGTGAGAGGTTTCCATGGTTTTCCTCTCCATGTAACACAAATGATGGTTGTTTTCATCAAAACGTCCTCCAAGAAGGCAAATTTATTTCAAAACTTATTACAAGCGTTATTTTGTCTTCTGAGTTGGATTCAGACTTAGAATGCTGCATAGTTGGTCATTGATAGTCGTAAACTCAGCTGTTCAGCGCCAGTTATAAAACAAAATAAGAATAAATGTATCACATCCACCTCCGTCTACTGACGTTTAACCCTTAAATGAGTTATAGAAAAATATTTAATGAGCTATAAATCAACTTTACTGAAATGACTCAATGAAACATGACTACAAAACAAAATAACATTACAATTACAAAATAACAATATTCTACAAAAAATAAATCTTCGAACATAATAATATTAAAATATATTAATAACTCACAATGTTTCGAACTTAGAAAAACTATCTATATAACTTAATAGAATAAAAATTATTAATTATGTGTATTTTTAATGATTTTTTTTTAGAAAATATTCAAACGAAAATTGCTGACTGTAATGCTTTTGATGAAACAGGGCGAAAATACGAACTTCTCGATTCTAATGGGTGAGTATATAAAAGTTATGCAATTAATTGCTATCAATTAATTTCTATCAGTTTTAATAAAAAGATGGCATAAATAAATCATGCATTGAATGCTTATCAGTTTTAAAAAAGGAGCGTAAATAAATCAAGCAATGAATAATTATCAATTTTATGAACGAGATAGCATAAATAAATTTCGCATTGAATTCTTATCAATTATAGAGAAAAAGATAGCATAAATAAATCATGCATTGAATAATTATCAATTTTAAAAAAGGAGCGTAAATAAATCAAGCAATTTATGAACGAGATAGCATAAGTAAATCTCGCATTGAATTCTTATCAATCATAAAGAAAAAGATAGCATAAATAAATCATGCATTGAATAATTATCAATTTAAAAAAAAAAACAATATAGATACATTAATCGTGTTATACAATTAATCGTGCATTTAATTACTGTCCATACATTATATTATTAATATTATATTTATTTTAATGTATAAAGCAGTGGAAAAGGAGACTAATAAGAACATCTGGAACATCTCTGTTATTTTTCACTCAAAATTACTCTATAAATTTTGGCTGATTGAAAAAAAAACTGTTTTAACTTTCATAATTATATACTGCATACGCGATGACATGTCAACACATTATATTGTTAAGTTTTAAATTAAAAAACAAAGCTATTATGGTAGAAAAGTAAATTCTTAATTTGCTTCTTTAGGTAAATTCTTTTTTTCTTCTTTTTACATATAGAGTTTTTTTTAAGTAGAGCGAAAGCGTATCTAGATTTCTATTCTAAAGATTAGCGCTTCTAGATTTCTATCTGCTCCATCTGCCAACTCCAAAATAAATGCCAATGTTCCATCAGACTCAAAAATTTGGCCGACGTAGTCCTTTCGCGGACTCAGCTCGGCTGGAAAATTAAATACAAAGCAATCAATGTAAGAATGTTTTATTTGAATAAACTGCTAAAAGTTTCTCGCACAATGCGCACAAATGCATGCATGAAAATTTAATTTAGTTGAAAAAAAGATTTGGACCGAAGAATTTTTAAATTTAATGTTATTAATAATCTTATTTAAATACCAAATAAAATGTGTAAATTTAGTTAAGCTTAAATAAGAGGAAAATGTAAGGATCAAAAATAATAGAGTTAATTATGTATTATTTCATAACTTCAATCTTTCATTATGAATGGTAATCATACATATGTTTCTGGGCAATCAGAATTTTCCGACTGCTTCTATAATATTCTTTGATTTTTCTTCGTTTCACGGTACCTCTTCAGAAATCAAATCTTGTATCTATGATTTAATAATATCTTAAATTTATCTCGTACACTACAAGAAATATATAATTATAGATCTAAATTTAATATTTCTGCTATTATTTACCACTTATTGTGCTCTTCTCGAAACCTCACAACCGTTTAAAAAAAACTCTTGTAATCAATTACACAAATATTATTTCTATCATTCATACTAGGAAGTGGGCACTCATTGAAAAAGACTTGTTTATATCATTCATGATAGGTAGAAATCAAACTATTCATTGATAACTATGATATCAAGACAAAGCTGTAAGTGTGTTTTTTACGCTTGATTCAACGCTTTCTTTATTACTTTCCTCATTTAAACATGGTGGTTTAATGATCTCTTATAATTTTTTTTTTTTGTATAGAATCAAAAATGTAATTCAATGCAATGATAAAAGGAAATAGTGCCTTCATTAAAAATGGAACTCATATATTATTTTGATGTTAACTAATATTTTATGTTGTAGAAAAAATACAATGATTTCGATATTAATAGATAACAATATTTTGTCAAATTATATTTATATTGATCAAACTAAGTTTCAATACTGGTTTTATTTTAAAGAAACATTTCAATGTAACTACACTTATATTTTTAATGTAAAAAAATTTTAAATTTAAGAACTTTAAAATGGGTTGAATCGAAGTCCGTCTTTCAAATTTGGTGCGATCTCAAAATGGTGCTTAATTCTATCATATTATTGCACTCTACGACCATTCAATTTTAATGAAAATCTAGTTCGATTTGATGCATTTTTAAGTTTCCAACAATTTTGCACCGTAATTTTTATTAAGGTATCCATATTATGGTTCAAACTTGTACCAATTTTTAGCATTCTATTATACTGTTGTCAAGTATATTGTTTTTAGTATTTGTCGTTTTGTGATGAATATTCAATTGTGAAGAAAACAGAGTATCCCAACAAAAGAATTTACTCCAAATAAAGTATAATATTTTATTTAAGTTTAATTTTGAAATTTTTAAATAAAAATAAAGTTGACAGGCTGCAATTATATTTGGAACATTACCTTTGGCAAATATAGTTAAATATTTGGTTGTAATTTTTCCATGTAATCTTTCGCTAAGAAGACGAGAGCTTCTATCTCGATCATGCGTTTTAAGACCTTTGGAATTGGTACCAGGGTACCAGACCGGGTAGCTGTTTGACAGCTGACAAAGACCGACCGCCATCACACGTCTCCGCTGTGGACACCTGAAATCACTGAGATACTCTGGAGGAGAAAAGTGTTTTACCCTCTGTACCAAGTGCTCTTCGGCCAGGCATCCCCTGAACATCTACTGGACTGCCTCGGTCTTTTAAAACAAGACCTTATAGAAAGACTTGTTTTAGACTTTTTGAAGGTAAACAAACTCATGGACCTTGTCTAGCTAGGCTAGAAAGAGGGATTTGAAAGAAGAAGAAGAAAACCTTTGGATTTCTTTTTCTATGTGTCTGAAAACGAAGATTATTATACCATTCAAACCTTGAATGGCATAAGTAGGTACAACTTCACTCAGATCCAGTCGCATTTATTCCAAATACTTGTTTAAACTTCATTAAATAGAATGCAAGTGCACAAACTACGCAGCGGATGAAATTTAGCAAAGTTTTTGTTCCATGCATAATCGCAACCTATCTATTTTATTATCTCATACTAATTTAAGTTATAAGTTTTTTTTTTTTTTTAAAAAAAGGCATTTCTTTCTCTAGTTAATAGTTTTCAATTATCATTTCTAAATAGGTGTATTGCAAACGAAACATTTTTATCAAACTTGACAGAAACTTATGATTCAGAGACTTCGACTCAAGCAGCATTTGTTACATTGAATGCAACAGCTTTTCCTGAAATGCAACGATTGAATATATCCTGCCACCAACTTTCCTGTGATAAACAGTGTAACAGAGTTAGTATTTATTTAAAGTATATATATTAAATTCATTTATTGCATTTCGTGTTGAACTACCAGTAGTTAGTAAAGTATTAAAGAGCGTTATCTTTCTTAAGTAAAATGTGTAATGTAATGTAAAATGTGTTAAGTAATGTGGTAAAAGGTCTCCATATCTACTTTTGTTGGATACCATCACATGTTGGCATAAGGGGGAATGACCTTGCTGACATTACGGCTAAGACCACTCAAAATGTAAGTAATAACCTTATAACATCTCTTGATTTCAGACGTATATGTAAATCCACAATACAACAGGCTTGGAAAGAACATTGGTATAAACAAGCTAATGATAAACTGCACGAAATTTATCCTAATCTTGACAACTTCAAAACAATACATATTGATCGCAAAACCCAGAATATTATCAATAGACTGCGCATTGGTCATTCTCGTTTTACTCACATGCATTTACTAAAATCTGAACCTGCACCTAGTTGTTCTCTATGTCATGTCGACATTACCATTAAAGATATTTTAACCGACTGAGAACGATTCAAACATTTGAGGAACAAATCTTTTGGCAGCTTTTATCCTAATCTTCAATCTTTACTTGGTGACCCTATACATCACAACCTTTTAAAATTTATCAAAACTATTGGACTATATCCTCTGCTTTAAAAGAACACCGTAGTTTGACCTAGAGACCGACTATTAACCTAGTGCCTGGTGCAGTATAGCCATTTCTGGCTCTTGTGCTAATAAAATCCAACTAACCAACCAACCAATCTAAAGTAAAATAATTCAACAATAGAAAGAAAAAAACAGCGGTTTAAATTCATCAACATATCATATATATTTCATGAAATAGGTGTTGGTTGATAAAAGTATTGACAAAGAAGGATGTTTCATAAAGACTTCCCTCAACATAAATATTACTAGAATCCTTATCAAAAAAGAATACAAAAACCTAATTACATTAGGAGTTACACATTAATTTCCATGGGTGAAAATATGGAAAATCGCAATTGACAAATCCGGTTAAACGAAACACGAAAACTTGTTTGATATCGAGAAAAAATAAAATGAAGTTAAAAAACGGTTATTCGAAACAAATTTCAACGTGTATTTAAAAATATTTTGATTTTTTATACATCCACCTTCTTTAATTTTCATCCTTTTGCTTTTTTATTTTTTACTCGCTTAAATTTAAGTTTGATACCCCAAACTTTGAAACTTCTTTATCTTTATTTTTTCTGAGGATTCTAAAAATATTTATTAAGGGTAGTCTTTACGAAATACCATATAAAAGAATCTTCCTCTGGAGTGCTTTTCCCATATTTTATTTGTAAGGCACTCGTTACTTCCATAAATCATGAGCATCACCTGAACATATCTTGCAGTATCTTCGACTTACACAGGAAGATTTAATTAGCATATCTCTTCGATTGACTGTAATCGATTTCGACAATGTCAAAAGCTTAATGGAGGTATTATGATTTGTGTCAATTAGATCAGATGAATGGAATAATAACAACATAAACCAGGAAATGTTTGAACTGACGCTTAAATGATGCCAAACTGGCATACAAGGTGTTTTAATGGACGTATAATATACATATTTGAATAATTGAAACTCAGCAAAAGCTAATCAAATAAATTTGAAGTAATCTATTGAGCAGTGGTAAAATTGTGATAAATTCTTAATATCACAGAAAAAATGATGATACATGATTATTTCTTTCTTTTGTTGAGTTGAACTTCTAACATATATAATATGTCGAATTTTAATAGTATGGAACTTCATCGGAATCTATAGCAAATAATATAAAATATAGCTTGTTGTTAGATGCCACGAATATGTAGTATAGTGATAATGGGGTACTTATTCATTTCGGATGGTAATACAACACGGTACCTATATTAGGCACCTATATTGGTATAATATATTCTTATTCTCATTACCTCATTATAACGGCAATACTAGATGTATTTAATACCACATTTAACAAAGCATTACTGGCGTCAATAATGATTTGGTGATTGGGAGTTCAAAATAAGCAGCGATATTAGTTCCTTCACCAAAAATGATTATAAAAGTATTAATGTGACAATAATAATTTTTGATGATTACAATTAATTTATTTTTGCAATGGATTCAAGTGGAAATAAAAAAAAAACAATACATAGAAGAAAGTTGAATTAACGAACAAACGATATTTATTCGTATATGAGAACCAGAAGAAATAGCCATATTGTTATAGACGCCTATGATGTTTAAATAATTTTGGTAACAGGTACAAAAAGGAATAGAAAAATAAGTTTTGAATCAGGAAAATAAACTTACTGATAAAAGGTACTTATTCATCCGTTAAAATCATAAAAATTCACCTACTGACACGAATGATTGCTTTATTAATTACAGTAATAGGTACTACTACTGTTATTTTACTTGATGTTTATTAATCGTTACGAAATGTACTAATATTGTTACAAAGATTCACTATAAGTACCGTGGCTGAAATAAATAGGTTTCAGAGAAAATTGTTGATTACGGTAATTTAGTACCAGGAGTTGACCCCACGCCAAATGATAATAAAAATATTTAATCTTTATTTCGATAGTATGAACATATTTTGCTTTATCTGATGGCATAAAACCACCGAGAAGGAAAGCAAATAATAAAAAACAAAAAATTGGGATTATTTAAGCTTAATTAATTGTACTGATATATGTATTTAAGTTTTCTGCATGATTTCGTTCAGTTGATTTATACCGATTTCTTGATTATTTACTCTCTTTCCATGCCGAACGGGTATTCAACTAGTATGAAATATATCAAACACTGTAGAAATGAAGAATATTCACATATCAAAATGCAATTAATGCGGTCAGTAATTTTTTAGTGATTTGTTGTCGAAACATATGTTGCTGTTTTTTGTAACTAATTCAGTTTTCAAAAACTTAATTATTACACTGAAGAGCCAAAAAAAACTGGTATAGGCATGAGTATGCAAATAAAGGGGTATGGAGCCAATCAAAGTACAGCGCAGTGATCGGCAACGCGTATATAAGACAACGAGTGTCTAGCACAGTGCTTAGATCGGTTACTGTTGCTACAATACCAGGTTATACAGATTTAAGTGAGTTTGAACGTGGTGTTATAGTCGGCTCACGGGAGATGGGACATAGCATCTCCGAGACAGCAATGAAATTTGGATTTTCACGAACGACCATTGCACGAGTATACCGTGAGCATCTGAAATCCGGTAAAACATCAAATCTACGACATCGCTGGGGTCGGAAAAATATCATGCGAGAACGGAATCAGCGACGATTGACGAGAATCATTAAACGTGACAGACGTGCAACCCTTCCACAAATTGCAGCAGATTTCAATGCTGGGCCATCAACAAGTGTCAGCGTGCGAACCATTCAACGAAACATCATCGACATGGGCTTTCGGAGCCGAAGGCCCACACCTGTACCATTGTTGACTTCACAGGTATACCAGTTTTTTTGGCTCTTCTGTGTATTAACTTTACAGGCCAATTATTGTTCTTTATTAACCCTATTAAACTTTATTAACAGAGGATCATGAGTTTCTTTATATGTTTGAAAGTGTGTAAAACGCGTCTAACGCTAAGTTTCGAATTAATCATAGTGTCATATGAAGTATTATTATTATTATTACTTAGGATTACATGAGCCAAAAGGAAGAGACTACAGAAAAAAGCTATCAGCATTTTGGGAAAGGAAACTTTAGAATGAACAAGCAAATTTTCCAAAGGAATTCTCATGCTGAACCCGAATCACATGCTGAATTAGATTTACATAAAAAGCATTTTAAAGAAACTTTCCATGATGGAACAGCTCATTCTGAAAATTTAAAAAAAGGAATCGTTAAAGAGAATGTGTCTCATTCCAAGTTAGCACCTCATTCCACGACGTCTGATTTTCAAGGAGCCGAGCTAATGACTTCAGGTAAATTTGGTTAAAATTTTCAAAAAATTTAAAAAAGCAAGTAACTTTTATCTGAATAATTCACATTAAGTATTTTTTTAAAACTGAATGAATGCACTGTATTTGCATTTAAATTTCATTGGGTGCTCTACAGTCAACCATTTGAAATTCATTTAAAAATATGATACACAGCACAATGCGCAGGTTTGCCAAACTAACTCCTAAAATTTCTCAGATTGAGAAATTAAAAACTAGAGATAAAGCTTAGTTGTAAATTCACTGTACGCGTAAAAACTAATAACAAAGAAGAAAGGAACTGACTATAAGTTTTAATCTTTAGTTTTCGTGTTTGTATGCTGTTATTGTGAAAAATGTAGTTTTAAAAAAGTAATTTTGGTGGCATTGCATTTTTAATCAAAACTCATGTGCAGAAATGTTTACTTATTTTAAGATCTACATTGATTTCTTTTATTTAAACAATGGTCGTTTTTCACAAGCATTAGGAACAATACATTGTAATTTACCGAACGTAAATTTATAAAAAAGCTTTAGTACAGAATACCTTCTTTACATAAAATCTTTACTTCTTTAATCCATCAACGATTTTGAAAAATAAATCTTCCAGACATCTGGAATAGCTAGAAAACCAAGTTACCATATAAGCTAAGTATTTGATATATACTTGTTATATACTTGTATGTAATATATTGATAACTATAATATTTCACATGAAATATCTAATGAAATAGAGAAATAGCATATGGAACATTTCAGTTGAGTATAACACAGGGGAACAAATTGATTTTTCTGTTGCATGAGATTTTTTAATTGATCTCGGATATTTTCACTTTGTTGATTTTAAATCTGAAATCGATATCTTTCTCCATGCTACAGTTTTTTTAAATTACCTTTTTAATATATTCTCTGCCGAAATAAACAAGTTAAAACACTTAATACGTAAGAGGAAGCGGCAGAAATGTTGAAAAAAACTTCTAAGAGAATTAAGTCACATCATCAGGATTATAATTGCATAGGAACCCATCCTCTTAGATGCCGTCATACGCTGCTTGGGGAGCTTTTCTACTATGAATTGCTCCTTTGTATGCTTCTGTATAGATCATTATAGAAAAGAGCCTCTAGTCGCTTACGACGATATTTTCGGGAGCAATTTTAAGCCTGATGTTGTGCCCTTACTTCCTTAGATATTTGTCGCAACATTTACAAAAACCCATGTTGTATGTAACGTTTTTGAACTTGTACATTTCGACAAAAAATAGACTAAAAATTTCCTTTAAAAGAAACTGTAGCTTTAGGATCAAAACTAATTTCAAATTTGAAATACCTACACCTGAATCAGATGAAATCAAATATTTTCATCAATGCAACATAAAATTTGTTCTGCATGGTAATTCGTTTCAATTTTTTTTAAATTCTCAGATGCCCAAGAGGAAGCCGTTATTTTATTAGCTAATTAATCTTTAAGGGTGATGCTGATAATAATAAGTATATTCTTTGTTTTAGGGCCCATGAAACCCTTAAAACGGTATCTAGTGAATTAAATACATTTATATTCATACTAATATACTTCATGCAATTCTCTTTTTGATATTTTTCACAGATGCTGGCATAGAAAATTGCTTAAACTCAACACGAATCATTCTGATTGTAAGCATATTACTGTCCTTCCTGATAATATCATTGGTGGTAACTATCTGCACGTGCGTTAGATCGCGTGAATTGAATCGAAGATTAATGCAAAGAAGAATGATTCCTTTTCTGAAAATTCCTCAGTACAGTCCATGACTAGAAAAGAAAAGTGAACAAGACTCTGTCGGGGTTTCAACAAAGAAATTCGGAACTTACAAGCCTCCCCCACGAGTACATGTTTGTCAATGAGATGTGTTAAAAGACTATTTAAGTTATGTTCATTGATCTTTTTTCTTGAATCAGCTACATCTTTCTAAATATATTGCTGATTTTATTAGGTTTCAAGTCAGATTTCCTCTTTCTAACTTGTTTTTAATTTAAAATGTCATTAAAAAGTGGGTGTCACAGGATTTGCCATTTTGTGTGATGCAAGCAAACCTGTTAGTTTTAAATATTAACTCACGGAGAAATACGGTAATTGAATGCATTTATAAATAGAAGAAGTTTTTTGATACGAATGAATTATTCTCTGAAAAAATTATGTAGCACTTTAAATTCAACGATAGTCATACACTATCAAAAAGCTCATTTTTTGTCACATATGAAAGAGATATGAGTCTTAAAGTGCTTATAGAATCATTATAAAGCATTAATTAGAAGGGATACTTGTACCATTATGCAGATATTTAAGAAAAACCAACATATTATCGTAGCATTTTATTTTGTCTAATTTAATAAAATGAGTTGATGCAGGAAAACACTGAAAAAATTGCTTTAAAAGGTAGATTAACAAAGATATCAGTGTCATAAAAGAGGCATTTAAAAACAATCTACTTTTTCTCCATATGTTTACCTTCGTAATATGTAAAAGAAATAAGATTTGACTACATTTTAAATTGCTGGCAAAACCGCTTTTGTCATAATATATATGAAAAAAATAGTAAAAGTTAAAATAAAGTTAACCGCAATATCAATGATAATTTTTTTAAACTTAAAACAAAAATTTGTTTTTAGATAATGTCATCAAAAATACTATTTAAATGTACGAGAACAAACGTACGACTGTATTGCTAAATGTGCAAGTTCACGATTACCAATTTTCAACTATGTGGCCTTATAATTTTGAATCCAATTCAGAATGCAAGAGAACTCCTGGATCAGTACCCCCAGATGTATTGATTTGTTATTGGAACTTGGAGGACTTTGTGACTCCGACAGACTTAGATTGTGCCAGTCACCATATAATGCACCGGGGATTCTTCGGCCGGCAGGATTTGGACTCCGAACATGAGTTCAACACCTACCAATTAGGCTATCCCAGCTATGTTATCATAGTTATTATCGAAGATTACATTCTCAAAAGCTGAGATTTAAATGTTGTATCATAGCAGCTAGTTTGCATAGCTCGCCTATTTGTATGTCAAATGAGTAAATTATGCTAAAACAGCTATTTCTGTGCCTATTTAAATTTAGTGTTCGACAATAATTATTCGAAAACATATAATTAGGATAATTTAGAAAAATAAAAGTACTGATTTTAAAACACATGAACAGAGAATTCATCTAAGAGAAGCACCCTTTGCAGAGTTCAATGGGGGTGGGGTTCTTTACAATTCTCAATGTTTATGTAGTGCCCTACCTTCGCTCCTGGTTTGTACACGAAGTTCTGAGACTCTCTATATTAATTATACACTACCCTACATTAATTGAAGAAACACTTTCAATTTTTGAGATTTTTTAAAAATTTATCAAGAAATACTCAAAGGATAATTTTATAACTTTATTGATGTTTAGGTCATGTCTTGTACTTATGGATAAAGTTTAAAGCTTTCAGAGATTTGGGAAACCGGCAATAAATTAGGAATGAAAAAAGATTTTTGAGCACCCTACATCAGAAAATCGATTACTTTCGTTATTGTATGCAACAATCACATAAAATTTTCTAAACCTAACTTAAATATTTATGGAAAAATAGACATGCTTATAAAAAAATTTAAAAATAAAAAAAATTTTTGCTTTACGTTTTTTTTCTCACTAAAACTTTAAAAATATTCAATAAAATCAAATAAAATGTTTGAAGTAATCTTTAATTTATAACAAAATTATCAGTGTGAAATTTGAGAAAAAAAATTTAAAAATTGCTCAAGATACGAGCATTTTAAGTAGTTCTTCCATATGCGCGGAAAACATTTAATTTTTTTGATTAGTATCGTATTTGGTAGCTAATGAAAAAAAGTCTGATTTAAATATCATGAAATTTTAAAAAGTTTCAAGCAGTTCTTTAAAAAAATTTGAAAGGAAGCTCTGAATGGCAAATGGTGTCCACAAATTTCATTTTGTATCATAAGACTAAATTTGATAATAAAAAAAATTATAATACCTTACAATAATTACCTGTACATTAATATGTGATGTTGAAAAGACAGAAAACATGTTGAAGAAGCATACTTTTATGGATGTTCCCACATAATGCCTGCGTAATTTTTATTAAATTATGTTTAATAGTACAAAATAACATTTGTGGAAAAACCCTTATCATTCAAAATTTTCTTCCAAAAAGTACATAAAAAAGTACATTTTTAGAAAATTGCTAGAAACCTTTTAGATTTTCACGATATTCAAAGTGGATTTTTTTTTAATTTTCATAAAAGACGATTCACCTCACAATTATAAGCACAATTGCACATATATTTTTAAACTTTTAAGAATATAATTTTCTTTGATTGTATTCCAAAAACTTATGTTCATTTATTCAATATATATATTTCACTTAGCTTTATATTACATAAAACTGCCTAATAATGTTCCTAATGGAAAACGCACAAGCGTTTTATGATGCTCATGTTGCTGCACATGTGATATTTACTTTAATAAAAATTCAATTTGTTTAGCATATTATTTTTTTATATTCTATATATTTATTTGCAAATGTTTTTCTACAGCTTTAGATAGTTTACATGTTTCTTTTATTATTAATATCAGCTGAAATGTTTATAAAATCATCAAATGTAGAGAGTATAAAATGTCTTTGAACATTGTGTTTAACTATTTCACATCAAATGTTGCATTTACACTTCTGTATGTCATCAATTTAAATTTTTTTAAATAAAAATATTTTGTAAAATATTAGAAATGCGTACTATATTTTCTAACATTCACAGGTAACCCAGCTGGTGTTAATATTAAATTTTATTCAGATAAGTACAAGTTAATGCTATAAGTCAGCTACAATGTAAACATTCCGGAAAAAAGTACTTCCACCCTGAAGCCATAAAATTCATTTTACCGTAAAATCCATTTTTACCGTAAAACCTTATACCATAATTCTTACAATGATATTTTTTAATTGCAGTTACTCAGCTATTTTACAGTAAATATTGCTGTAAAAATTGCGGATTATCATATTATTCTTATTCCTATAAATTTTACAGTTAAATGCACTGGCTACCTGAGTGCAGGTACTTTTTACTGTGTTAGCGAAACATGTCGACAGTAAAAGAATCTGGTTCAAGATAGTTATATGTTTTTCAAATTATTTCTGAACATTACTCAAACTAGAAAACAGATTTATTTTACGAAACGTTGATTTCAATGGCTAGAATAAATTTAAAAAGATCATGAGAAGTTTCATTTCAAACTGTAAATAATTCCAATTATTAAAAATTGTGTATTCTGAACCGAAACGAAGTGCATCATTTGGCGTTTAGACACTGAGGAAGGTTCTTGTGTAATCAACCGAAACTATAATATGCCTATTTCAGTACTTCCATATGAACTTTATTCACGCTGTATTTTTTTCTTTTGTCTACAAAGTATACTCTATCACTTTTAAATATTCTGAACAAGTTCATTTCTCGTATACGTAGTGCTTTTCTCTACGAGAGATATTTTTTTTCAAAAGAAACCAAAACCGAAAAAAAAAACTTTTATATTTAGATAATTACTTAATATNGTGTCTGTTTCCCTGCTCGGTCCGACTGCATCATTTTACATATATATATATATATATCCATACACACCATCTGACGGTGGGAGAAAACAAAACAAAGTAATTCTTAGAAAAACACGTATCTGTTAGAAGCAATTTATTTTTAAACTATATGGTATTATTTTGAAAATAAACTTAAAGACAATTTTTTGAGCAACAAATACAGCTATAATAATAAAAAACATATTAAATCCATAATAAAAAACGCAACATTGATAAAAATTATAATTGCTAAAAAGGAGAGTAATATTCATAGAATAAGCCTTTTTCTTCTGGAATTTTGGGTCAGTATTGATGAAGACTTTTTGAAGGATCTATTTAAAAACAATACAAAGGAAGTTTCAGTAGCTATATTTAGCCGCTTCCAGCTTGGTTTTCATGAAATGAAGCACCTATGTCTGCAACACTCAGAGACTTCCGATATACAGCTTTATAGACGCTTGTCGTAACACTAGGATCCTCTGGTTCAGCAATAAACACTTCACTTTCATTTTTTAAATTGCCAAGGTTAAGTTGCTCAATGTTTTCATTAAGATGTGTGTTAGAACCAATAACAACTGAATGCTGTTTCGTTTCCCTGATATCTATATCACTCAAGTCCACTAACAGCGAATCGTCTATGTCTGAAAAGGTATCCTCCAGCAATGGATCGTATTGCTGAACACATTGATCCACGATGTCCGACAATACTGACTCAACTATTTGCACTTCATTAAAGAAAGCATCACTAACAACCCTTGGTGGTCGTTTCCTTGCTATGTTACTTTTTTTATTCCTCTGCAATTCAAGTTCTCTCTCGTGAAGAGCTATTAAATAATAGGCTAGATGTTCAATCGGTCTATTAGGGCGGCGTATGGCAACATCGGCTAATGCTCGAGAAAGTTCTCTACCGACTGCCTTTTTTAAATAGTCAATATCAATTTTAATCTCGTCCTAAAACAAAAACAAATTATAGCATTTACCAAGCTAGTTAGGCTAAGCGTAGCAAATTGTTTTGTGACTTGTTGTAAGTACAATCAATTTCAAAATGATTGTAATATCAATTTTTTATAAATCCTTCAAAAAGTATTGAAATATTTCATGCTGCTTTTGTCTATTTTTTATCTATTGGAATCATTTTCTGACAATTAATTTGAAGATACATTTCAGTTCTATTAGGAGGCTTTACCATCGACTCTTACGCTTGGAATCTCAGAATTGCTTTTCAGACCGCTTTTAAATATTGGTTGTTCTTGCATTAAACAGTATAAATATTGTGTAAGTTTGACACCGAGCTGCATTTTTATTACTACATATGGGGCAAATTTTTGAACTCGAAATCGTTAATACATATTTCTAACTAGAAGCTCACAACTCAAGTATTTATCTACATGTTTTTTTTCGGGAAGAAGATATAAGGAATAACTTTATTTCTGAGTCTGAATAGCCCCCACAGCAAATAAATTAAAACTTACCGCTCACCATTTTAAAATTAATTCCTCCGCTTGAATGCGAAGAAACGCTTAAAAATTACATCCTACACTTTTTAGAACAACAAAATCCGCATCACATGAAGTCTAGTATATCATTAGCTTGTTTGAATAAGAATCGTTGAGTAATTTTTTTCGCAGGTAATAATCAATTTAGCATTATACTTTTAATCAAAATTTGTCATTCCATCATTTAAAAATGTCTTGCGAGTCATATCTTGCAAGTCACTGATTCACCATCACTTATGCTAAATCATCAAAATAAATTATATTTAAAGAAAAAAATCAACTTAATAAATTTCAAAACTAAATTTTATGTTCTTGTGAAAATTTCAACAACAAAAAAAAATCGATTGATCTTCATAAAATAGCATACGTATTCGTCGGTATTTAGTAAATTCCAGTTCTCCGCTTAAATAGTATTTTTTTTAAACTTTCAACAATTATATTCCCTCTGAAAAGCGAATGTAGTGCTTCCAAAGCTCAGCTCCCCTAGCTTTATAATTTCAAATCCTACTCAAAAGACAAAGGAACTTCAGATTCCAGCATTATAACAAGCCTGTCTTCGTGGAGAAATGGGGAGTGGTATAATCCTACGGCAAGTGATTTTGTCATTTTCTCTGATATATATTTATTTAATTGAACTAATCAAGAAGCATAAGCACTTATTAAGAAAATAATATAAATAGATATGATTAATAGGATTAATATTTAAAAGGAATTATCACAAATTCTTGTCTAATATTCTGACTACACTTATAAACGTACTGGCACTATTTATTATTAAGATATCTAGTTCGGGGAAGATTTATTTTTAGAAACAAAATTATTTACATTTGAAGTTAAGCTATTTTTCAGACAGTGAAACTCATTTTCTCGGGAATTCGTTTGAAGTTTCGACAGAACTAATTAAAAATCGAAGTCGTACAAAATTATAAATATGAAATAAATATATAGAAATATAGTTAGTTTAACTAGTTTAAAGAATTAATGCATTTCTGAGGTCAAACCCCAGTTGGGGGGAGGGGGAGATCTGGCAATTTTCTATTTCGGCTAGACTAATAAATAAAATGGTGCTAAAAATTATAAAAAATATGGTTTTCAAGGGAGAATTAATGTATTTACAATTGAAATTAAACTACATTTTGGACGTTCACGCTGATGTTTTCTAGAATGTTTACTATCTTGACTGAGCTAATCAAGATGCACTGGCTGGATTGATGGAAATATACATATTTACATGTGAAATTAGCAATAAAAACATTCCAAATAGGAAAGAATGACTGATTTTATCCAGTCAAAGAAATTAATAAAAAAATAAATCATATATCAACTGTTTCTTCATCCATGAATCCTTTCCTTTCCTTTCATCTTTATCTTCAGGCGGTTTGCATAAAAAA